TAGACTACCTCCTCACATTAAATAAAACTAATTTATTTTTTGTCTTAAATAAATGCTTTTGTGAATCTTTCAATTCATTTAGCAATACCTAAACAATTCTTGACAAAAATAATCTCTTTATGGACAAGATAATACTAGCAAAAGCACTATCTCTGAAAGTCGACATTGATGTAATAAAGACTGTGGTCATTTATGGTATTTGAGTGTGATTCTTGTTAACCCATCCTCAAATCTTCAGTGTGTCAGCTCTCGTTTAAAGGACATACGATATTTTTTAAAGATATGCCAAAATTCTATGAAACAGCTGTTGCAAAATGATAGACCATTCATGGACTTTGAGATGAAAGCAAGATAAATTTCAACACTTACTCAACAGTTGAGCTGTAACACTCTGATTCACCTTTGTTTTAATTATGCATTGTGCCCTTTTTAATCCTAAACCTTATTACTCTTGTGCAATTTTTTTGTATATCAGTTGCTTACAAATCAGGTTCCAAATTTTAAAATGTTTGTTAAGAACCATTTGTTCTTTTATCATCAGGTTATTGAGACTCTGAGGTTATATTTAAATGTTGCATTTTATTGTGAAGTGTTTAAAATGAAAGATTAATTTTTCAGTTCTTTTTTTTTCGCTTTCTAGCAAAACAATACTTACGTCTCAAATGAATTAGTATGAATACTATTTATCTGTTTATTGAGATATAGAGTCATCAGGAAATTTCAGCCAACAGCAAACCTTTGATTTTTGTATTGATGTTATTGGGAGCTATTATAGTCAAAAATTGTTCAAAATGATATGATATTAATATCGCAGGCTTGCAAATCTCATTTATATTATCTCTCAATTTTGAATGTCTATAAAACAATGCAATTACATCATATGATCAGACTTTGGCAATTTGTCCTTAAGTTTTATTGTGTAACAGTGTCACTCATTGAAAATTGAGTTTCAATTTCTGGTTGCCATAAAATAATATAACTGCAAAGGAGAGTAGTACAATTGTGGTTAAAGCTCTAACACCTAGACAGATGATGTGATCTATAATAATTCAAACTCTCGTTGAAATGAGATATTTGTATATCATGTACTCAATATGCGATGTCATGTGTATTATGAGAGTATTATGTAAGCTTTTAAGAATGAATGAAAAATATTCTCACTTTCATTTCGTTACACAGCATATGTCCTATACTTCCATATTCAAAATATCAAAGTTACATGTTTAACTTTGGAAAATATTGGAGTGGCTGAATTCTAATGTATAATTGTTTTAAATTGATTGAAAAATAATTCAATAAATCCTAAATCTATGGTTTTTGGAGCTCCTGGCATTTGCATTCAACAATTTAAGTCAAGATCTTTTAAATAATTTTAACTATAATTTTTACTCAATTCACATCACTTATTTGCATCTGCATTAACAATTCTCTGACTATTTTAACATTAGTCTTACATGCAAAGTATGAGGAATGGATTTGTTTTTACGACAAACTATCAGCGCTGAATTAAGTGTAACCTAGTAATTAATTTGAAATGGTTTAAGTGTGATTCACATTTTCCAGATTATTTAGAAATATTAATCATTTTAATTTACAAGGTCTCCTATTTGTCTTTTAGTTTATGCATAACCGTAATTGTCTATTTTAATTCCTAATCTTGTTAGAGGGAAGTGCTTATTGTCTCTAATAATACTTATCACTACTAGCAATATAAGATGAAAGCACCATCAGAGAAAACTCAATACTTAGTGAATATCTTGGTTTAGGCAACATCTATAATCTTTTAAAATGATAGACTTTAGGTATCAAGCAATAAGGAGATAAAGTATATACTAATTCCAAAAATCATGGCATATGAATAAAAAGTAAAGTTTACTGTATTCTTTGTTTCCTGCTTCCCAAAATAAATTCTGAACAACCCAAAGGTATTCATATCATGCATTACTTTCGTCAAATAATGCTGTTAACTTTGAACAAGAAGAGTTATATAATAACTCTTCATAAAGACTTTTTATTGACTCCTTTTGCTATGATTGCTAATTCATCTTAAGCAGCTTTAGCTTGCTGTGTAAAGATTATATCCTTATTGAAATATACTACTATCACACCCCTGTATGTGTGTATAATATTCGCCTTCAACATAAAAGCACTTAAGAGGCTACTTGTGTCACTTTATAATTTCTATGCCATTTCTGCATCACATAGGATGCAAGTTGCTATTTGTAATCAAAACCGAGTTTTGGTTTTCTGGGAGTGTTTCAATCCAGTCTGATTCATCTTTATTTTATAATTAATAGTTGTCACAAGCTACTTATTGAAAAGCGATGTTTGTTTGCTTATCCTTTGATTCATTAATAATTCTATTAGATGAGAGTGGATAAATAAGTAATATGGTTCATTGAATGCAAGTTAGCCAAGTTAATTACAATGTTTCGACATTGATATTCCTTAATATCATCATCAATAAATCCAAATTTTTCATAAACAGATTGTTGTGCCAGTACTAAAATTGAGAGCAACACAATGATATAATTAAGTAGCCGAAGAAAACAAATAAGACAACAAGATTGATTATTGATGGAGTCTACGAATTAGTTTTACTACAACCATGATAACAAATTTTCTAGAAGAAGGATATCCAGCCACATCTGCATGCGATTATTTCAGTTTTAAAAAAGGCTAAGATTCATAGTTAGAGCATTTATCCAAATCTCAAAATAATCCCACTTTAGTATTAAACAGAAGACTTTTATATTAAAAAATATTCTGCAATAATAGGTGCTACAGTATAAACTCTTTAATATCCAGCACCACAATGTTAAAAGTAGGAACCATTTTACAAGAATCGCAATAGACCTTGCTTGCTAAATGAATCAACTTGACCATCAAAACTATACTGTCGTTAACATTAATTAATGAAAATTTAGACAGAGCGTTATCGAGAAACCCCAAGATCAAAATGCTAATGCATTATATATTGTCATAACCAATAAAAAGTTACATTATTAATAGCGATTTTAGTCTTATGGGTTAAAGACTGCAAATTTAATAATTAGAAACTGTAATTTATTTTGGGGTTATTAAGAAATTGTTTTTCGTGCGTTCATGAATCTGATTCTCTTAATAATTATGCAAGAATGATAGTTCTGTATTTGATGGAAAAGTTTATCTCATCATTCGAATCACGGAGATCACTGTGAATATTTTCTCCATAATTCACAGTTTAATTTCTAGCGATTAATTATCTTTCATACCAACTTGCACAGATTATTTTATTCTTTAACATACTTATACTCATATTTCATTTTTTTGAATTGCAGAATGGTTATTAATTTGAAGTAGCAGGTTTCCAAATCAAAAGCATTCTCTTAAATTAGGCCATGCTCATCTGCATAAGTCAGATTAGGACTGTAGATGACCTTTGTCGAAAAGAGATATTTTACTTTTACTTTAACTCTGATCCTGAATAGGCTTAATTTTGTTTAATAATTTCAAGCATTCATTTGCTAAATGAGTTGCTTCTTTTATCAGCATCATAGACATAAAATTTTAATAATATTATCAAATTAATAGAATAAAGGCAAAATGATTGCTTGCTAAAAATTCTTTTACACAGATTTTGCTTCTTTTTGGTTAATATATCTATATGAATTTGGTCTTTTTATTTAAAGTTCATTCGAGAGAGAGTCTTGACTAGCTATAAAGTAGCTAATCAAAATTGACAAAAGGGTTCATAGACCAAAACCAGTCACTAAAAACATAATTGTCGATCTAACTGACCTTTTGATGAAAATTACTTATTTATCAGAAAACGGTGAATTTTTAGTGTGCCCCATTTTTTAATTATTTTTCACAATATTATATAAACGATAAAAGAATATTTAAAGTAATAATAGAATGGTAATCTAAAATATAATTGTTAAACTAAATGAGCAATTATATTTTAATAATATGAAATTAATAAAAAGATGATGGATCATAACTTTTATAGCTATTTCGCTATATAAATCTTGTCTTTCGATCCATTTTCCAATGCAGATAGATAAAATTGTTTGGCTTCATTATTTTTCCCTAATTCATATAGTGAATCAGCTAAATATATAGTTAATGAAGAATGTTCTACCTTTAAGTTTTAATCTCTTAGGATTCATGCAAATAGAAATAGCTTAATCATAACATAAAATGGCCTCAATATATTTTTTTAATTGGTGTAATGCAAAGCCTAGATGATATTCAATTAAATTCACCTTTATTATTCCATGCGCTATCATTTTTAGAATTAATTTCAATAGCTTTATCATAACATTCAATAGCTTCTTGGTATTTCTACAGACTATTTAATGCTGAACCTAAGCATTAATACTAAAAAATAATTACCTTTATTATACCACGCGCTATCAAATTGTGGGTTTATTGAAATAGCTTTATCATAACACTCAATAGCTTCTAAGTGTTTCTGTAAATCATCTAGAGCTGAACCTAATAATTAGTTTTCAATATAATTACCTTTATTATTCCATGCTGTATCAAACTTCGGATTAATTTAGATAGCTTTGTCATAACACTCGATAGCTTTTTAGTATTTCTGTAAATTATCTAACACAAAACCTAAATAATAATACTTTAAATTAATTACCTTTATTATACCATGCCTTATCATATTTTTGATTAATATCAATAGCCTTGTCATAACACTCAATAGCCTCTGAGTATTTCTTTAAATTTTTTAATGCTGAACCTAAGTTATAAGATTTTCAAATAATTACCTTTATTATACCATGCGATATCATATTTTGGATTAATTGCAATAGCTTTGTTATAACACTCAATAGCTTCTTAGTATTTCTGTAAATCATCTAATGCTGAACCTAAATAATAAGATTTTCAATTCAATTCACCTTTGTTTTTCCATGCGCTATAATTTTTAGAATTAATGGCAATAGCTTTTTCAAAGCACTCAATAGCTTATTAGTATTGCAAAAGACTACTTAATGTCGAACCTAAACAATAACACTGAAAAAATAAATACCTTTATAATTCCATGCTGCATCAAATTTTGGATTTATCGAAATGACTTTATCATAACATTCAATAGCTTCTTAGTATTTCTGTAGATTGTTTAACGCACAACCTAAATACTGATACTTTAAAATAATTACCTTTATTATACCAAGCGCTATCATATTTTGGATTAATTGAAATAGCTTTCTCATAACACTCAATAGCTTCTTAGTATTTCATTAAATAATCTAACGTTGAACCTAAAGAATATTACTTAAAAATACTTACCTTTATTATACCATGCTTTATCATAGTTGGGATTAATTTCAATTGCTTTTTCATAACACTCAATAGCTTCTTAGTATTTTTGTAAATTGTGTAATGCTGTACCTAGATATTATTTGAAAAATAATTACCTTTATTAACCCACAAGCTATCACATTTTGGATTAATTGCAATAGCTATGACATAACACTCAATAGCTTCTTAATATTTCTGTAATTTATCTAATTATAAACCTAAAGAATAATGATTTAAATATAATTACCTTTATTATACCATGAGCTATCAAATTTTGGAGTAAATGCATTAATTTTTTCACTACACTTACTAGCTTCTGAGTATTTCTTTTAATCTTCTAATGCTGAAACTAAAGTTTAATAATTTAGAAATATTTACCTTTATTAATATAAGCGCTATCATATTTTGGATTAATTGCTATCGCTTTGTCATAACACTCAATAGCCTCTTTGTATTTCTCTAGATTTTTTAACGCAAAACCTAATAATAATTTAACAATAATATTACCTTTATTATTCCATGCTCTATCATATTTTGGATTAATTGCTATAGCGTTGTCATAACACTCAATAGCTTCTTAGTACTTCTTTAGATTTTTTAACGCAAAACCTAAATAATAATACTTTAACAATAATACCTTTATTATTCCATGCTTTATCATATTTTGGATTAATTGCAATAGCCTTGTCATAACACTTAATAGCCTCTTAATATTTCTTCAAATCGTCTAATGCTGAACCTAAATAATAATGCTTTAAAATTAATTACCTTTATTATACCATGCTTTATCGTATTATTGATTAATTGCAATAGCTTTATCATAATATTTAATAGCTTCTTAGTATTTGTTTAAATTGTGTAATGCTTAACCTAATTTTCATCATAATTACTAGTACCTTCCATAAGTATTTTCTAAGCTTCATCAACATTCTATTGTTTAGAATTATTGCTCACCTAATTAGATTCATCATTTTTATTCTCTATTTAATTAACACAATTAGTTTAATCTTACATTTATTCAGATTCCATATTCTTGATTGTATTAAGGGTATTGCTCAATTTTTATATTTATTATTCTTTATAATTATACAAAAAGATACTTTATTAATATTCATTTTCCTTTTAGTAAAAATATTTAATTAGGTTAATTTATGACTTTAACTTCAAATACTCTTTGTTTAATAGTAATTGGGTCAATTTTTCCAATAGATTAATATCCTGATCCATTTTTTTTAAAGTCTATTCAAAATAATTTTAAAATTATTTCGAGACTTCTTGGAGTTATTTCCTTGATTGACTGCATTCTTGCATGATTTCATTTAAAGTTTTGAACATTTTAGTGAATCTTTTACAATCATTGAGATGATCTGAATGATTTGTTTATAAACATTCATAACAATATTGAATTGCACTTTAACAATTGTTATTCAAGCAAAATCCCTTTATTTTTTCATTTTCATGAGTAACATATCTACACATAAAGATTTCCATGAAAAATAAAATTAATTAAATATTTAATAATAAATGAATCCTTTTTCATATTTAAATATCATTTACTAATAATAGAAATCAATGAAATTACTATAGTAAAATACAATATAATTAATCAATCTTAATTTGAATCTACTTAAACATTAGGTACTAATTAATATCTTAACTATAATAAATTTATTATAATTCATGAATGAATTAATTACTACTTAAAAATCATAGTTTTACAAAATGGTTAAACTTGTAGTTATAGAAAAAGTTTAATCGAATTTCTTGAGAAATTTGATGAAGGTTATGTCTGTAACTATACTTCCTTTCTGATCTAAAAGCTAAATAATATTCTTCACATAATAAATAATAAATATCTTAATAATTGAGATTTATTGTAAAATAGATATATCAAAGTATTTCTTTCTAATCACAAGATATAAATTGAATTCTTAGAAAGAGTAAAGAATGAAGATAAAGCGATCCACACTATTAAATAATATAGTGCTTCAAATTAAATAAAATGTTTGTGAAAAAAAATATAATTAATTATGTTAAATAAAGCTATAATAAAATTGATGAATATTTTAAGTGATGTTAACGATAATTATTATAGAAAAAAAATAATCTATGAGGCTGCTTTCATTTTAGGTTTAAGGTTAAAAAAATCCATTAAAAATGAAGTCATATAGGACTTCTTTTCATTATATAGTATACACGGTGGAAGAAGTTGGGGTGAATGTAGCCAGACATTTAGGATCCATGAAGGAGTTAAGGGTGAAATATTTATACTAAATAAGCAAGGCGAATTGTAAATTACGTCGTTAAAGAATAGCTTTCCTTGGATAATAATAATGAGACCAACTTTCTGGATGAAAGATATCTACTGTAATAGAAATTTTTTGGGTAAAACATCAAGTAGATGTCATGGACAAACTTCAGGAGGTACTCTGCGGCATTAATGGAAATGATATCTACCTACCGATAAGGCTTAACATAAATTATACTGAGAAGGGTTCTAAATTAGTGATCAGCTCTGATGAACTAATTTATTAGAATTAAACGCAAATATAAATTGTTTCTTCGTTTTTTAAGTTGATTAAATATTTGATTGAAATCGGATTAATTGAGCCATTTTATATAAAGATCAGGTAATTCATTTCCACTTACAACATACTCAAAGAAAATATTCTCTTCCTTTCAATTAAACCTTATTAAAATTCTCTGCAATTATTTCATTTTAATTCAGAAGGATGGGTATAGAAAATTATTTGAATAAAGCCAAAATTTAGCGTTATGTGATCTATGGCTAACCTTCTTTAGATTTTTAATAGTTTATTAGCTCTAGTATTATTCTATCTTGGCTCACTTGAACTTAAGCAAAAATACTGCTAGGAAAAAGATGAATTAATAAAATAACTTTGATCCAAAATTAACTACAATTATTATCTTATGTTTTCAAAATTTAATTAAAACTCAACAGATAAAAGTTTTGATTTCTAAAAAATAAAATAGCATCAAAAAGGATTCAGATTATTAAATAAAAGTGTCCATTTTTAATTTAATTGGTTATCAAACAACCAACTTATGTATAGCCCTTTTAAAATAAGATAAACTTAAAATATTATGTTTGTTTCCGCAAATATATTAATGAAATTGAAAAATTATTTGGGGAAAATGGAAGTTAATAATGTAGTTACTTTTGATGGGTCATATATCAGATACAACTAATTTTTGAAGAACATAGTAATTCTGATTTCAATGGCCTTGTCATAAATTTTTAGGCCTACTCAGTAATATAAGTTATCATTCCTTCCTTTAACCTATCTATGAATAATAAATATACTTCAGATAATAATCCTTCATTTCCTATTATATACAATTTGTATATTTCTCTTTCCTTGCCCATTCTAAGAAATTTGAATCATTATTTTAATGAGCTCTTCTTGGATTTTTAGAATTCATATCAAAAAGTTGAATTTTCACTGTATATTGATTTAGATAAATCTGTAAATTGGAATTGATGCCATAATTTTCTTTACGTTTGATGGTAGAATAGGATGGTTAAAAGATTTTTAAATGAAGGATTTTTATGTATAGCAATATTCCAAGGATTTAAATTGGAAGAAGCTTTCTCGTTTTCTTTGATAATTTAATTTAAAATGATTATTTT